ATCGAGACGTGGAAATTACCTGCTGATACCTAGAAGAAGAACGAGAAGAAGAACGAGGAGAAGAAGAACAAGGAGAAGAAGAAGAACGAGGAGAAGAAGAAGAACAAGAAGAAGAAGAACAAGAACAAGAAGAAGAAGACGACAACGAAGAAGAAGTGATGTTCGGTTAATACAGCATAGATTCAATATCCATGAAAATCCCAGAAACTTCAAATATTGTGAAAGTTCAATTTTTTAAAAAATTGTCCATCTCAATATCAAAGCTATAGAGTTTTTATAATACAATATATTCCTCAATATAAGATCTTTAAATTATTTCAAGTAAATGTTTTTGCAAATATTGGTACTTTTCACATAGTTACATGGGAACAAGCCTAAATTTTGTTTTCAAATTTGTTCTATGCCCTTAATGTTGAATTTATTCCTACACCCATACTGCAGTCTATTTTCCAAGTAGCTCTTTAAATAATTTCATGTCCCCTTTTTATCAAGATATTAGTAGTTCTCACATAATTTTCAGTTTTATCGTTTGCATTTTCCAAGTGATGACCAAAGTGTTGGTAGGAGAGGTAGTGCAATATAAAAAGTTAGTTACTACTAATATGAGAAAGTGTGAGCTGTTGTAGCACCAATGGCTTAATTTTTTATAAGAGCATTCTCAATACAATATAAAACAGAAACCCTTCAACATCTTGTCAATGGGTGAAAAGCATTCCAGTGTAGGTGAAGGGGAAGTGTGCATTATCACAATATCAGATAGCCAATTGCATGCCCCACTATAGCCATGCTCTATAGGATCCCACTGCAGAGGGGAAAATCACTAGATGTCTGGGTGTAGATACCAGCAAAGAGAGGTGAAAGGCTCATGTCTTAAGACAGTGTTGAAAGGTTAGGGAAATCAAATTTATATTTCCTGTAAATTAAAGAAATATAGTAGACACTACCTTCTCTAAATTTACAAACTTAGCAACACAAAAGATTAATCATAGGGCACTTTTAAAATAAAGTAAATTTAAAGCTTAATTTCTGCAAAAGCATAAATTTGCTATTCTTTCAAGAGACCATTCTGTTCTCCAATAATTACAGGTTTCTTGGTATTAGCAAAAAAAGTTACAACTTCCCCCGAGGCACTTTAGGTGAAATTTAAAACATTTTATTTTGTTGTCACCATCAAGTTGTGAATTACAATTTTTCTCAATATAGTTTATAAAATGTTCTGCTTTTTGTAATAATTATTTAGAGATCTTGTGTGCATGCCCTTTTCCCCAACTGTACCTAAAAATCAATGATTCTTCACATGCTCAACCAGCTTCCTCCCTTTTTACACAGATTTCTCCAACAGAACAGAAATATAATTATTGAGAATGAAACGTAAAAAATATTATATAGCATTAAAATAAATTCTACAACAAGAGAATCAACATTCCCCACCCTGAAAAAAATTTTAAAGCACAACCAGATTTTCTTAACTAATTAAGATGATCTATTCTCGCACATCACTAACTTCTCAGTTTTGCTCTCCTTCTCACCTTAAACTGATCATGTTTTGGAATTTGGAAGTGTCCCAATCAGTTAGCAATAATATATTCCATTACCAGTTGCTGAGGCACACTAGTTATGTGTTAACTTTCTGCATCTCTGGGCAACAAACAACTAGAATGCCCACATAAGCCCAATCTAAACATTAAAAAAATCTTGTTTGAAATCCAACTGTAACATTAATTTTCTGAGCTCTTCATTGGGTCATCCCAAACTAGCAATATAATATATGCATTAAATTCTGATAAATAACCTTATGCGTTTGTAGGCTTCCACAGCCAGAGTCAATGCATTCTTGGCTATCCGGGATGAGCCGCGTCATCCCAGATAGCCAAGAATGCAACTAACCTTCTGTTGGCATCCCTTGAAATTAAAGCAAAATCAGCTTTATTTCTTCCAATTATACAAAATTCCTTGTCCAATTTTCATCTCCTCTTAATGCAAGTTTAACTACAACAATTTCAAGTTTAAAACAAAAATAAAAAATATTGGAATAGGAATATTTTGAGATTTGAAATTATCTTACGTGGACAAATTGTATATTTATTATATACTGTTTGTTTTTAATTTAATTTGTTCAAAAAATTGTCATCCTGTTAAGGGATGGAACCCGGGTCTTCTGGCTTATGCCCTGTTGCTCTAACAACTGAGTAACCAAATCGACAAATTCTTTGAAGCTACTTGTCTGTTTTATATTGAATTGTCACTACCTTGTCATCAATAAAGCACACCTAAATTTACTGGGTGAATATGAATATGAATATATATACTTGCACTTTGCCAACACAATATCAAGCATTGACTAGTTTCACTGTTGTCTAGTTAAATATCACTGATTAAAATAAAACAAAATGAAATTAAACACACTACGGACTAATACATTATGAAATCTTTTATGTCACAATCACATTATTCAATGCGAGTTTCATTTGCTCATAGAAATTGATATTTTGATGTACACAAGTCTTTTTCAGATCAGAATCCTTAACCAGTCATTACATAGATTCTACATTTCAAAATTTTCTCAAAAATGGCTCCGAATCTTTTCTTTCAATTTCTTGTAAGAGTAGAGTAAAATCCACTTATAAAGGTGGAATAGATCAGAATTTCACTGTGAATTCTGAACTTTTGAAAAGTGCAAAAGTTTGAATTTTTTGGGGGACTTATACAAAATTGAACTTCAAACAACTCAAATTGAACAAAATTGACAATGAGATTTTTCCTTCAAATGACATTTGTAATCCATAATTGGTTTTTTTATTAAGGTCATACACTTTTTTTAAATTTTAGTGCTTATGCAGCAATATGGTGAGCAATACCTGCAATCATTTGGCATCATTTTGCTCTGTTCTTTTGTTTTTTCAAAAATTACAACAATGAATTTTTTTCACTGGTCCCTCACATCGTTAATATTTACATTACTGGCAATTTGTTAACATTATTATGAGTACATGTGCTTTAAACAATGTCATAAGAAGTTCCTTGAAAACTCAAGTTTTCTGTGAAAATTAGCTCAAAATTCCACATTTTCAGAAATGCTCAAACACCATTTTCTTAAAAGTGCTAATTGTACTGTTTAATAAGACAAAGTTCATTTTGAGTTTTTTTTGTTTCCCCAAACCTTACACAAATGTATTTTTTTTTAAAATATCTCTCATGCCATTAATATGCATATTACAAGCGATTTGTAAACACTTTTGCATTTGTGAGTGGCAGTTCTTCAAATGACTTCCAAGGAAGTTTCTCGAGAACTCCAATATTTTCTGTGAAAAAGAGCTTCAAATTTCACATAACAGAAATGCTTAAACACCATTTTCTTAAAAATGGCTCCAAATTTTTTATTGAAAATTGCAATTTATGATGATAGTTTACTCTTTAATATTTTGGCTTTACTACTACGAAATTGAAAAATTGAGAATATGTCAAAAAAAATGTAGTGTGGGCAGTTATAGATGGCAGCTGGCAACAGTATGTGGCAAGTCCGAATAGCTAGCCCAGCTCAAAGAAAATAGAAAGCTAATATGAGAAAGTCTGCGCCATGGATGAATGTCTGTTCCATTTCTTATTCCTTTTGTCAACCACATTCCATTAGGTCCTTGCCAGCCTTTTGTCCTTGATGTTTTTGATTTTTAACATCTCTCACAGACGGCCTTTGTGCTGAAAATGACTTATTTAAAATCATGGCATGCTTTATTATGTTTCCTTCAATACTTTCATGTCTGACACAATGGGTAAGTATATGCCTCCAACATTGATCTCTTCTTTCATACTCTTCTTTCAGTTTCCTTATCACATCGCTAGCTAGCATCTTTCTTACTTGCAGATATGGTAACATGATCAATTGCAAACATTAAAGTCCACAGTTGAGAATTGTTTATTTTTACTTCCATATATTTAGATTTTTCATCCATGACACATTCTACAGATCATTTCTGTGTTGAGCACCTGCTTCATAGTTCACTGATAATCAATAACAAGTATATTAAAAAGAGACAACACCCAGCAAAATACCATTTTAACAACTGGTTTTGATTCTTACATTATCTCTTTTTAATCTTCGGTGTGTATGTAAAAATGTGAATGTGTATAGTTCACAATCAACTACTAATCCTAAAAAGAGATGTCTTTTTTTTCCCATGAAGGCATTTGGGAAGTACAATCAATGACTTCACAGAATGATGCACTATATGACAAAGATTTTCTAAGGCATTTGATGATTGAGGATTGACAAGTTTTTTTAATGTTTTAGGATCACAAAAAAGGATCTTCAACTATGCAATATGTGTTAGCAAGAAATGAAAGACTAGGCAAGAAATTATCCAGCACTTTACTCAAATTCCAGTAAGGCATCATTACATTGAAATATTTAAAAAGGTTTTAAAATATGACAATTTTAATATTTCTCTTCAGTAAATTTTTGGTATTTTCTACTACTAATTCTAAATTAATTACACACATTTCTTCCTCACATCACACACATGCTGTTGTATTTTCCCTCCTGGATCACACATGCAAATTAAGATGATATGTTCGTTCTTTTATTTCCATTAAACGTATTAATTGTATCCTAATAGTGAGTTTCTATTGGAGGACAGAGATGAAGAACATCTATAAATTAAAAAGTTTTGTATTTTTAAATGACAATTCCAATTATTTTTGACTGATGTATCTTGCAATAAACAAATGTTTTTGATTCGTTCTTGATTTGTAATTTAATTAGATATTCAGCTAAATCCATCAAACAATGTTCCTCCAAACTTTTCATCTTTCCATAAATGTGCAATACAATGTCAAGATAACAAATTTTAAAATGCCATCTTGTTACTACAACTCATCAACAATCGGAAACATTTCTAGAAGAAACAGAATGCAATTAATGCTACAAAAATTTCTAATGTTTTTTCTTTAATAAAACTTGTGTGAGTGTGGCAATCTCACCTTTCACTTCAAATTTCCCCCACAAAAACAAAGCAAATCGTTCAAGTTCGATTTTCAAATGCCAAAGTAACACTAATGTCTTACAGCCCTGCAAAACAGCCAAGCCATAAGGCCAAGGAGCAGCCTCAGCCAAACTGCACCCCCATTCCTCTGTTCTATCCTGATCCATCTTCCTGACCTTGATTGGCATAATCCTGAAATACCCAGCAACAGAGCAACCACTCTACAATGATGAATTGCATTGCAGGTTTCTAACAAACAAAAATGTGGAATGCAACTAAAGTTTTAGCAATATTTTGGGGGTCACACATACAGAATAATATATGTATTACAGAGAAAGTTATGTAATGCTGCAGAAAATCAATTATGCTAAAATAAATACTCTCCAATCCATCTGGCCCAACCTTAAGTCCTGTGACTTTGAAAAGAAGAACATTTTAAATTTTGGAGGTACCTTACTGATGTCCCTAGGGCATTTTCAAAACTTCTTCAAAAATTATTATTTAAATTTCTTCTACGAATGGAAAGAAATACATTTATAAAGATGTCATAGATCTGATTTTCATGGATATACCTAAATTTTCAAAAATTGCCAAAGTCTGAAATTTTTTCAGCATCATCTTACAACAATTTTGAAAATGGAAATTTTTTCTTCAAATAAAATTTTATCTTCTCATTCAGTTCTATAATAAAGTTCATGTAATTTTTATTTTTAAATATTACTAGTTTTCATGCGATTTTGAGTCTAATATGAGAATTAAAAACAATATTTTGTCAAAAACATACAAGTTTTTTCTTCAAACAGAGAATTTACTGTAATGAGCATTGTTAAACTCGCTTAATAATATGGCTTAAAACACATGTTGAGGTATTCTTTCATTATTTAAAAAATTTTACAAATGTAATTTTTTTATACATCTCTCACACCATTATGTTTTTAATTCATTACTGCACATATAAGTACATGTTCTTCAAATGATGTCTTATGAAGTTTGTCGAAAATTCAAACCTATTTGTGAACATAAACTCCAAAATTCTGTATTTTTAGATATGCTCAATAAAGTAATGGTTCCAAATTTTTCAATAAAAATTTGTTTACAGAAACAGGTTCCACTCTTCTATGAAATTCTTAAAGTTGTTTTTGAACTATTAGGGGAGTGGAATATGATTAAGAAAATGTGGAAAAGAAAAGATTAAAAACAAGGGGGGAAAAGTACTGCAGATGCAGACAGACAGCAGCTGGGGCGAGGGTAGGGCAAAACCGAAAAGTTAGTCCACTATTTAAGAAACTAAATAGTATAAGAAAGTTGTGTATAGAATGCATGAATAAACTAGTGGTGCCATTGCTTAGCACCACTGGCTAAATCTTTAGTCACTGGTAGGCTTCCTATTTTGAGGACATCATGCAGCTCAATTATTTTCATTCACATTTTTGTGTAAATGATGCAGTTTAATACACACGCTTTAAATAATTTGATAATCTTGATACTTGAAAATGGGACATTTGCATGGTGAATATTTGAAATTTTATGTTTAACCTTTCCAGGATTTCATTCTATTAATGTGAATTTATATGCAGATTTCATTCATGGGTGAATGAAGAACTGAACATTACATAATCACAGATTACAGTTAATTTAATTGCTTTTAAGACCACACTAATCATGGCAGTGTTCTGCTAGAACTAAGGAAGAATTTTGAAGACCTAGTAACCTGCTTAGATGAAGAACGTGAGTTTGTGTGCAATTGGCAAATTAAGATAAGTTTAATTAATATATTAATATTATCAACAACCATATTTTTATTGATATTTTGATTTATGTATGTATGTAGTTATGTTTACAGGACTATTTTGGCTATTTATTACATCCAAGGCAACATTTTTTATCATGCCACGAGTCCTGCATCATATCTTGTTCTTTGATTGTCTTCTACTCGCATCTTTCCCTTTCACCTTTCACTTTTCGAATGCTTTCCTTCTGTTGTGCTGGCGACCAGTTGTTGAAAATTTGGGCAGTCTTTCATAGTTCATCCTTTCTAAATGGCTGTACTGCAAGAATCTTTTCTTTCCAAACACATTACTTAAACACCCTTCTCGGTTCAAATGCCTTATACAGTCTTTGTTCATGATCTGTTCAATGTTCAAGTAGTATGACTCCATAGCATTTTCATTAAAAGCTTTTTTAAACACTATTAATTCTTTTTGTCAGGGCTTGGTTTATTACCCGAATTTCAGAACCTCAAGTTACTGTGCTCTCTACTGAAGTCTTAAATAGCTGGATTTCCTTACTCCAAAGAGGGTTTAATTTGTTTACCATATTTTACTGCACTCTTTCCCACAGTTTTAAGACTGATGTAATAAATATTTTAAATGTGTTCAGAGTGAGAGAACATCATCTTAACCTCTTGTTGGTTTGGAATGGCTCCGACAGTCCTGTTGGAGTTTTAATTTCGTTTGTATTTTCTTCATAAAATCTCTTTACTGCCTTTATGTCTTGCCTGCCACATCTTTTCAACAAGCCAATTATCGTACTCATTTTTGAGATTTCCAAAAACCAGACACAATCAGTATATGGAAATTATGTACTTCTCCACCAGCTGTTTCAGGCAAAAAACTTATCTACAGGATTAACCAGTTCTACATCTCTAGTTATTCAATGCTCACAAATTATTTCAGTCATCTTACATTTGTTGCATCCAATCAGACTGTTACTGATAGGATGACACTCAAACACCTATAATTGGAATATTCTGATCTTCCTTTTTACTTTGTTATGTAGTAGAGAGACAGTTATGTAATGATGCAAGAAAAAATCTGATTGAAGGGCCTCGGTAAAGAAAAAGTGGGCCAAGAAGAGTTGCTAAATTTAGGGGATAAAATCCTCTTATCCATGGTGAAGCCAGAATCCATATTTTGTGGGTCCTTGATACCGAAAAATCGTATGTCTGCGAAACGTCTGTCTGTCTGTCTGTCTGCCTATCCGTCCGCCCCTCTGTGAACAAAGCTAGCGGCTAATCTGTTCAACCGATTTTCCTCAAAACTAACTTATTTATTTATTCATCCAAAATTAATATCCCCCAATCAAACTGGCAGTTACCATAGCCCTTTCAATTTAAAACTGATATTTTATTTAGGAGAGGTTTACTTTACATGTCGTGCCTGGTAAATTTCCAAATTTCCAAAAAAAAATTTAAAAAATGGCTCCATTGTTTTTGATTAAATTGTTATAGGATAATGTAAAGGATGTTTAAGAGAATGGTGCTTGTTTCGTGTTATTTAAAAAAGCCTAATTTTTGGAAAATTGAAAAAAATCAAAATTTTTTTCAGTCTTCCTTTCAACTAAAATATTAAAGATAGGTTTTGAAATAACGTCATGTATGATTTTTTTGAAAATTTGAGGACTTCTTACATAATTTTGAGTGAAAGTTCAGGTGGGAAAATATGTGCTGTTTTAGCACCACTAATTTGTAAAGCGATGTAACATAAGCACTTTCCCAATCAGTTGAGATTGCTTCTCCTTTCAGCCACTTATGTAACATACAGCAGAAATATTCTATAATATCAGTATCACGTAACTCAACATGATCACCTCTAGGACCAGGAGCTGTATTACTCTCCATAGCCATGAGCTCATTTCTTATTTCATCCATGTCTTCACAGGCAGTAGTATAATAGGTTGATTTTAAATTAATTAAATGAATATTTCTGATTCTATTTGCTTTTGTTACAATTCATAATTCATAAGTAAAGTCCTCTGACAAGAAACTTTTAGTGTACGTCACAATAATACATTTAAAATAAATTTTCTCTCAGCTTCACATAAGTGTTAAACCAAATTTGAGGGTAATTACAGGTTATTGTGAAACAAACACATACTCACATTTTTGTTATATTCACATTTCTATATCTCCGAGATCAAGGGTCATATCTATCAACTTTCAGACTTCACAGGAATAAAGACAAACTATTGCATTCTTGCTTATTATAATATTCAAGATATAGCTTCTTTTATTCAATAGTTTAAATGGATATGGATATTAATATAAATGGATATTAATAAAGATGGGAGTTACTCCAAAATGCCTTCAAATATATGACTCTCTTTTTGCAATTATTTTAAAATTTAAAATCTCAAAATCACTGAAAATGGGCCTTGCAACTCAACCTCTAAGGTACAGATTTTACTATCACTACAATACTTATGAACAATGTTGACATAATGTTCTTACTTTTTTAAATGATGAAGCAATGAATCTAATGCTTCCATTAGAGCTTTTCATATTTCTGGTTATTGAAAACCTTTGTAATTCACATTTACTAATATACCACAGTTTGACTTCTTACACTGCACTCACCTTGTTTCTCCAGAAGTTGAAGGCTGACCGGCAGAACTTGTCGACTCTGCAGGACTGCTAGGATCTGCCAACAAAGCGAAACAATGTCACATGTCCATTACATATCATTTGGTTTAGCATTAAAGGTCCCAGTCCCACCTAAACTTGCTCTTTCAGCAATTGACCAGCAGTGGCCTAACAGCATATCCATTTTGTCCTGAGAGGCCTTGCTTATTGCCCTAACAGCACTTAGTAATTGTCAATCATAAGTGTAATTTTCAAACATGAATGATCCAATCAGTGGGACTGGGTATATATAAATTGTCAGAATACTACAATACATGTAAGCAGTCCTGGTGACAGCACACAAGTTCAATGACACACATTTATAACTTATTACTTCTTGGGTGAAAAAAAGGATTTGGACACTTAATTCATAAAGCAGATTCTTTATTAATAAAAAAATCAGTAACATAGATAATGTTTAAAATCCTATATAAAAGTTAAAAAAGTAGACGAACAAAGCACAAATTACATACACAAAGGGGTATCAAAAATGTCAATAGGCATCTGATAAAAGAGCTGCAATGAAAATAGCCACAAATGAGCCTTGATCACAAAGAAACTATTTGGACTATGACTTTGTGCATCACATGAATGTGTGCTGAAAACAGATGCAATGACAGATAACATATCTTGCTCGTATATGCACAAGTCCAAAAAGACTAATAGGAATAACAGGCAAATCCAGATGCAGCATACACACAAAGAACACATCGTATTGCAGGCATGCCAGTTACTCACACTATTTGCCCAGTTGTTACACAGACTTGCCAAATCAAAACTTTAAAATCATCACAATGCACAAGGAATTCACAAATAAGCATGTTCACTCTGCAACAAGTGTTCAGGGCTAGAAAAAATTCGGTGATATCCCTGATGCATCAGCGAGTCCACACCATATTTAATTCCGAGAGTCCCTAATTTCCAACACAGAAGGCACCCACACATTTTCACACATTCCACACCACTGCCACGACTTAAAGTTTAGCCACATTGTCTTCTCTGAATAGTGATACAATTATTTTGAATTGTGCCTGTTCAGGTCACTATACTCAGAAAAGACTTCACAAATTTGGCTGCCACTGTTGCCACCATCTCCTCCACCAGAACGTGAGTGCAGGTTCTGACGGCTGCACTGCAAGTACAGTGGTCAGATGTCCTACCTCCCTGGATCTCCTGCAATTGGATCCCATTTTATACTATCTCCCAATTTCCAAAAATTTAAGCAAGTACATAACTCTCCCAGATTTTAAATGAATGTAAACGAACATCTTGATTATGGTTTACTCCTTTATGTTAAGTTAAACAAAACATGCAGCAAATGTTTTGAAAAAATACATTATATCTTTCAAAACACACTTTGCAACGTATTTGAATTTCCAACCCATTGACCTTGGGAAAAATGCGAGTACTGTACACTGTTGACCATAAATCATAACTGTGATTGCTGACGTTATCAGGGAACAGCCTATGCAATATATTGACACTGAAAAGTTATAATATAAAGAAGTTGGGCATTTTCATATTAGTAAATAATTTTGCTTTGATGGACTGGCTGAACACTTGTTAATCATTTTTGTTCCAAATCATTAATTTCTGCAGTTCACTCCAAATTAATTTAATTTAATTTTGTTTCAAAATTAGAAGAGAGTTTCAAGAATTTTGAATTTTACAAATGCAACTCTAGCTGCAATAATATCAGAACATGCTTTCAACAAAGTACATCACAGCACTGGCTGTAGGCCAGGCCATGCAACCTCTAAAGGAATTTTTACATATGTTTGGGCCTCAGATGGGTGTGCTGGAAGAGACTCCTTCACGTGTATCTGCAAGTGCTTGTTCAGGCCACTGCGGTCAGCAAACGACTCTCCGCACACGCCACACCCATGCGACAACCTACCGCCGGCGCTGCTACCGCTCACGCCGCTGCCAGAGCTGCCAGAATGCGTGCGCCGGTGCCGCGCCAGCTCGCTGCGCTGCGGGAACGCCCGGCCGCACAACTCACATTTGAATGGCCTCTCGCCCGAATGTGTGCGCAGATGCCGGTTCAAGCCACTCTGCTCGCAGAACGCCTTGCCACACTGGTCACAGGGGTATGGTCGCTCGCCGGTGTGCCGTCGTGCATGCCGTACCAGATGGTTCGGCTCGAAGAACTCCTTGCCGCATTCCTCACACTTATGCGTACGCACTCCAATGTGGGTGCGAAGATGGCGTAACCGATGGCTCTGATCAGAGAAGGCACGCCCACACAGATCACATTTGTATGGCTGCTCGCCCGTGTGGGTGCGAGTGTGACGGATCAAATGCGATGGCTGTGGAAATGCCTTCCCACAGTCCTTGCACTTATACTGACGTTCAGCTGAATGTGGTCGTGGTGGACGACTGGGTGTGCTCATGCCCGGAAGAGACCTGTGGAAAGTTACACAAATGTGATGTGAGGGATTAGGAATAATATTCAGTAACTGTTTCACAAGAAAACAAAACTTATTTCAAAAAAGAATTTACACACGTTTGAATGTTAGGCTTTACATAGTCCATGACGATAATCTTAATTTACACTACATAAACAATTTAACATTGAAAAATGCTCAACACACAATCGATGTTAATGAATTAATCGGTTTAAAATTACACCAAACAGCCAGGTAACATCTTACTTCCACTCCAAAGGAGTAGAATACTTTTGCAACAATGTGTGCAGTGCACTGAGAAAGTTTTGAAAAAAATTATAATACTGAAGTGTCATTTCCATATTAATTTGGAGAATGTTACTACCCAAGATGTAGCTCTAGTTCTTTGATTTTGTCTCCTGTTGGTTGCGAAGTACGGTCATTACATAGTATTATTTTCCCTTCCCCTTCCAAATGTATTTTACCTTATACTCTATCAAGCTAGAGTAGGCTTTTAGTTATTTAGCATGTTAATATTTTATTATATTATAATTATGTGATTTTTTTTCTTTTTTTTCTGATCTTGTATAGCTCTGATGATGGAAATACATTTTCTGAAAGGATGGCAAAAAAACATACACTGAAAATTCTACTGACCATGTCTCATAATTCTCACTTCACCAAAATGTTTACAATAAATATACAAAATATTCTACACATTCTAAAAATAAAGAATCAAAATAACTTTATACACTACAACAATATTCAAATTTCAAAATTAAATTCCTCCAGTAAGAAACAAATTGTGAGTTAGGTTAAACTAACAAATTTATCATCATCTCAGTTTATAAATTGCACTTCTTAGTGAGTTTTTGCAAATATTCCAAGCTTCCATTTTTAATCTCCAAAGTGAATATTCACCTGGTGTTAAAGTGAAGCGCACTAAAGTTAATCTTTTACAAAACAAAAAAAGAAATCAATGACGCTCACTATTAATTTTACAAGAACAATAGTCAACAAAATTTCACTATGATTTTAAGGGCAAGGCATTCAATTGTGTTGCAAGGTAACTATACTAATGATCTACAAATGGGTCTCCATATTCATTCCAAAAAACTTTTGCTGCATTGTCTCAATACCAGAACAATCAATATTCACATGTGGAGATTGCACAACCACATAAGCAAACGTTAAGATCAGTCTAAGTGATAAATATAAGGATTTCTATGCCATTGTTGAGTGAATTCCTGAAGAGGTTCTCTTCACTACAATTTGTCTGGCTTAGTGAACAACTAAATGATTATATTTCTTAAATGGCTATGTAGAATCTATTATAATCCAAGTCTAAGTTGCAAATACATGACAACTTACAGATGGTTAATGGATCAATTTTATGTACATGTTTCACGGGAGTTTTAGAATGTAAAATTATGGTGGATGACCCTCCACAGATTAACCCTAGCAATTCCTAAGTATAAATGATTCTGTGCATTACTGAAGAGGTGGGAGATGAAGCCCACTTCTTAAATTATAATTTTATTGATCTTTCAGATGATTTTGATAAATTAATAAATTGGTGTATGTAATAACGTATATAATTGCATTGTACCATGTATTCACTTAAACAAAACCAAATTCTACTGAATTTCTCTGTAAATGAAAAAAATACAATTTTTTAGGATCAATATTCATATTTAATGAACAAACGATTAATATGTTTATGTAAATTTAATAAAGGGCAATGTATCTTCAGAACATTGTGAAGGATTAAAACATACTAAGATTTAAAATACTACAAATTCAGAATAGCCTGAATATATGTCAATTTTGTAATTTTGAAGAAGCCTCCTGGAAATGTTTTAAATTTGTAAATAATTCTTACTATTCAGTCAAACAATCTTGAGTTTTATCCCAACTAACTTCATCTTCACATGTATTATTGTTTTCTTTCATTTTGGTCCTCCTCCCAAACTGCATCATCCTGAATTTTTATGACCCTCTGACAGATTTGCATGATCTATTTGCTTTCGTTGGCTTTCCTCTGATGCCATTCTCTTCTGTCACCAGATTTTTGTCCTGTTCCGCCTCGCCCATCCGACCTCGCTCATTCCTTATCAGAATGTTCTTGAAATCCACATTGTTTAATGACAATGTGATTGAGTTGTGAACTGAATACTTGTGCATTTCCATTCACCTCTTTTGTGCAAAACTTGGAAGATAATGGCAAGTGTGTGTGTGTGTGTGTTTCCCCCTTTTTTTTTCTTTTCTTTTCCCCACCCTTTATTGTGACTGTTTATAGAATACGCACTACTATCAACAATGATTTTTTCAATTTTTATGTCTTGCAAAACGTAAATTGCACCACATAGAATCTAAAGTCTGTGTAGCCACTTCAATCAGCACATCATAAAAAAAAACTCAGCAATGATTATTATTTATTTTTTTCATTGTGTTTCCCATAATATAGTGCTATTTGTTTGAGATTCTCTCTTTACTGGCACATTCAAAAACCTTAGCCTGAATCGCCTGGCAAATTTGTAACTGGATATCGAGAATAGTCCCCGAATATAATTAGATATTACAAATACATGTGATATTTTCATTATCTTCTCTGCTTATTATAATGTTAACATTTACAAGTTGTGTGATACAGAAACACTGTAAAAACATAAATCCAAACTTAGGTATTATCTGCAAAATTTAAGATAACCCAGTACTTTTTTAACGTGATAATTGATAACTCATGGGAGAATTGGGTTTAGGAGATGCAAAAAAGGGACAGAGAATATTTCAATTCTCAATTATCATCTCACTTTTTCTTATTATAGGGAAGAGTTCATTAAATGAAATACTTTTCCGTTTGTTAAATGTCCAGCATTAAACTCATTTTGTTTGAAGAGAATTCCAATTGTCAACATAACCTAGTGTTGCTGCAACAGCTCATAGTTTTCTTGCATCATTTGCATCAGCTATAAAATACTACTATGAATATGTCAAAAGGTTTCCTACCAGCAATTATTTTTTTTTCCACACTGGGATTCAAACTCAGGTTCTTTGGTTTAGCATGCCAAACACAATGAGCCGCACAGCTGAACTCAAACCTTCCCAACACTTTAAAAACAAAAAGCATTCACAATTTTAAAAAAATTAGAGATTTTCAGTATATCAAGATATATTTTTAAATGATGAATTTTGTTAAAGAAAATATATGTATTATGCATATTGTAGTATTGCAATGTTTTTGTTTTTTTTTTCTCTGAAAATACACTTCATCAAAATGGGTCTAGTCTCACTTTTATAAGCGTACTTTGATCTAACTCAGAAAATAATTTACAGACAATACTGGGTGTGATTTTTGACAAAATCTTGTTTTAAAACTACCTACATTTCATGAAAAATTGCATGAAAATTACTTATATTTTGGGAAAATTGTACAGAAGTTTATTTAAAGATCTTTTATTTTTCCATTAAGGAAAACCAGTTCATGCACTGTTGTTTAAGCTTACTTTACTCTCTCGGATGAGGAGGAGAAGGAGAAAAAGAAGGAAAAGCAAAAGCGAAAGAAAAAAAGAGAAAAAGGAAAAGAAGAAGAAATCATTTTCAAAGTCATTTTTGAGAACACTTTGAAAATGTTGATGCTTCAAGTAAATGACCTCGAAAAATCAAAATACTCACTTTGTAGCATACAGAGGCCAGCCTCATCGATTGGGAATGTCAATTTCGGAAAAACCAATTTAAACAGTTAGGTGTAAACAGACTTTTTTCTGGAAACTAATTTTTCAGTATTACGGCTGCACAAAAACGTGGATTCTGACTAAATGTGTTAAGAGGAAGTAATTCACTACATTTATAAATAAGAAATGCACATAAATGTGCATGGAATTTATAGTTCAGTCTTGGGAGCCAAGTTCTGTAATTATTTTGTTGTTTCCCTTGCATTTTGTAATTTTTCTCTTTGTTAATAATTTATTTTATCTTTCTTATTACAATCTTTGAATTTACTATTTTTGTCTGATCCAGTTGTCTTCTCATTTTCTCCTGTGGTTGTTTTGTATTTAGCTTCATGGTAGCTTTAGTTTCAAACATTGCAAATACTGGCATGTGTTTTCTATATGGGTCTTGAATGATGGTTGATTGCATAGATTTAGCCATTGTTCAAGAATACTAGATCTATTGTGCTTCTTCCATTGTGGCATATGTACGTTGGGTGTTTAAGATTGTTTACCAGATCAAAATCATCTTCTTGTAGGTATTCTAGTAGAAGCTCCATTTTGTGTGATCTTATGACAGTGCGGCAGTTCTAATCTCCTGCAAGTATTATGACGTTGTCTCCTGCTTTCACTGGAGCTTCGTTTATTTCTTCTAGTATATTTTCTACTTGAAATGCCAGTTGGTTGTGCTTGCTATCACTTAGAAGAGACTAGTTTGGACTGTTTTGAGGTTTGTAGTCTTTTATAGTTTCTGTCTTGGCGCTAATGTGGGCTTGAAGTAACTGGATATTCCACCACTGGCTCTTCCTGCTTCTCCTTGCTGTGCTAGGTTGTGGGTACCATAGTATCCTTGTAAATCTATTTCTTTGGCAGCAAATGTTTAGGTTAGTATTTATATGTCATCAGTTGGTATGATGATAGGCGAGTTTCTTAGTATGCTTTCCAAACCTTAATTATAATTATACTGATATATTATAATAAACTGAATTATAATAATAATTATACTGACATACTGACTGAGACATTTATCTTTATTATTATTATTATTATTATTATTATTATTATTATTATTATTATTATTATTATTATTATTATTATTATTACTGACAAATTTATCAATATTATTAACACTGTCATTAGCTTGGGGGAAATTTTTAAGTTACTATTATTATTTCTTATATTGTTATTGTTATAATTATTATCGTCATGTCCCTTATACAGTGAAGGGAAGTGTAGCGTAGTGAAGGGAAGTGCAGTGCAGTGCAGTGCAGTGCAGTGAAGTGCAGTGAAGTGAAGTGCAGTGAAGTGCAGTGAAGTGAAGTGCAGTGAATTGCAGTGCAGTGAAGTGAAGTGCAGTGAAGTGAAGTGCAGTGAAGTGCAGTGCAGTGAAGTGCAGTGCAGTGCAGTGCAGTGCAGTGCAGTGAAGTGTAGTGTAGTGAGGTGTAGTGTAGTGAAGTGTTATGTAAACTAGAAGTGAATTTAGAGTTAGCTAGAAATAAATTGGAACTATTATATCGACCCCCTAATTCTAATAGTAAACCCAATTGTAAAAGTTGAAAATGTTTAGTAATTCTACTAATTGTTATCATGTTTGCCACCGAGCATTAGCTCAAAGCAAACTTTAATAAATCTATCTATCTAACCTTCTACACTCCATAAGATGATGTTCCACGATTTCGTTCTTTTAAAGTCTCTCCCCCATACGCCACATACAGTTTTTACTGTTTTCTGTTGTTGTTTTTTGACTAAATAAATCTAAATAAGGTTTCCATTTATTATTGATTCTCTTTGTTTTCCCGTTTTGACATAGTTACAGGTTCCTGTGCCTTCGTAGATGTGATATTTGAAATAAGTTGTCTGCTGCTGGGAGCCTCTTCCCAATATCTTCTTTTGTTTATTTCCTATCTCGGGCTCTGCTTCCTCTCTGGTGGCTATTTTTCTTGTTTGTTTTATTACAGTAGTTGTATAGCTGATATTGTCTCCGTTAGTTGCAGCTGAGTTTCTAGAAATACGGTCCTTTTTGTATCAATGTTTCACTGATGTCTAATTTCCTGTTAGGTCATTGCAGGTTCATTTGGTGTTACTGTTGTTTCTTGCATGTTGTTCTATTTGTTAATAATTATTTGCAGCCTGCAGAGCATAGCCATGTTAGTTTGCATCTACTTCGTTTAAGCATCTGGAATTTGCAAACTGTTATGTCTGCATATTTGCAAAGTTGCCATTATTGCAATACTCGCATTCCACGGCTTCATCATTTTCTGTAACCTTTAAGTTGCAGATTTTGCATTGTGTGCTGTCTTTTTTGCTAGTATTCACTTATATAATTTACTACATTTAGGAGCAAGAGCAAGATTTATTCACTCTCAATAGCTGGGACGCATAATAGGGACTTTTGGCGAAAAGCCACCGACTGCTACAGCATTCATACTGAAATTTGTTACAGCTAGAAAGTGCTAGGTTCATTTTTAAGACAGCGCCATTTAAGTACGAGAGACTTGCGGGATCAAGCAATGACTTCTTTCTTTATGGAACAATACCAAAGAACGGTTCACAAGCTGTAAAGCAATAGGCTGTGTTAGTTTATATTTATATGTTGCTGTTTTACAAAGCAATCCTCCCTCTGACTGACTAAAGATGTATCAAGAAAAATATTTTTCAAAGCTCTGGCAATGTGATCACTGAAAAGTCATTGGACAGACAGTGAAGTCAAATCTGCAGTACAATAATAGTTCATAATGCCATTTACAACGCCACGTCTGCATTACATCATACACATGTTGCAAACATCCTCTAGAGAAATATATTAGTCAAATGGGCTTAATGTCTGCCTATGTCCCATGTCTAGATGTGAAAAATATGTTCGCATGCTTTTGTAACTTACAGATGTATGAGAAGTATTTTGAAACAGAACAGAGAAATTTTACTTAATACGGAAAAGTAGGTTCATTTTCCTATGTTTGAACAACAATATACATGTAGAAAATCCTTTGAAATATAATTATTGCATGTTGCAATTTCATTAAACATTTTGCTGGACATATTAAGCTGTATCTTGAGTTTAGGTAAATTAACAAATCAAAATACTAACTACACATACAAATAAATACATAATAAAAACAAACATTTCAGCTAGTTATTGAGCCTTCATTAGAGCATGGAAACCACCACCACCACAGGTGCTGAAACATTCAGGGGTGAGATATGCCACCTCCCGCCAACCTGCATTGTCAAACATCTCCCCACGCACCACTGAAGATGTGATTAGATCTCGTGGGTCAACATCGTCATGCTGAGAGTCTCATGCTCACACGAGACCTAAGAGCCTGATAGATTCAAAACGATCTCAAGATTTTTGATGATTTCAATCATGCAAGAAACTCTTCCACCCAAGCAAGAGCTTCTGTATTTGGTACCATCGCACATGTGTTCACTAGCTGTCGGTATCAAGGAAAGATTTCCAGAAGTATGATCACCTAATGCTTCCATTTACACTGTACACAGATGAACCTACCTTCTCTTGGGAACAAGATCCATTCACCCAAGCAATATGCCATGACCGCACAAGAAATTTTGAGGAAGTTACATGTACTGTATCACGTATGTCAGATAAAATATAATACCAATTTTACAGATAGGGAGAGAGTTTGAAGAAACCTTCAGAATAATATATACACAATAAACAAACTAGCTTCATCTCAAATGCACGTCAGAATAGAACATCCACAGAAACAATTTTTGCTTAGAATTTGAATGACCTCCCAAATATTGAGGTTTCCTCCAGGGACTCCTGTTATAAAAAAGAGATGGCGACCTTAGTCAAAATGTATCATTTGTAGGGAATACACACCCTGAGACATGCTGTGTTTAGAGTGAATTTAGACACATCCACATTTTTAAAGTCTCCGCAACTACTTGGTCACAATCAACATAGTAAGGAGATGGCAATCGTCTAAATTTTACATTGTTCACCACAATTGAAGATGGTGACTGACAGAATAATGACTGCCGAGGGGGGAACTGCTCCTGCCTATATAAATTGCCTTTTATATTGCAGAAGTTGGTGAATGTCTGCCAATGGTTTTTGCATTTTGACTCTGCTCTCATCAATGCCCAAAACAGCTGAACCCAAAAAAATTTGAAGGAAGGTCCAAAAATATATAATTTTATTGATTAAGGCACGAGGAACATACCTCAATGCACCTGTACATTGCAGGTTGTATGAGTACCTGCGTGACTTTTTTACTTATCTAAAAAATGTTTAATTTGCATCTTAAAACCGATTGCTGCCCCCTTTGGAAGTAATTCCCTAGCCACCAGTTCCAAATATGTAAGACTTAGTTCCATTGGGTGCTTCTTTTGGCCTTAGAGAAATAATGTATGAAGATGATATATTTTATTTCCATTACTATTAATATTTAATTTTTATATTCTTAATTGCTTTTTCAATTAATTTGAACAAGAGAGATTTTCAAAAGAAAAAGTAAATGTTGCTTGCTGGAACATTGCTTAACTTGCTTTAACACCCCAAAAGCTATTGATGTAATAAAGAAAAAACATTCCAAGACCTTAACCCTTCAATGCAGAGTGTAGGTTGGGCAGGGTGGCATTTCAATACAAGTGTAGTGAAAGAGACAGTGTGCATCATTAGTTTAGGGCATCGCTGTACCAGCTTGTCTCAAACAGTATTCTGCTGCAAAGAAGAAAATCTCTAATGCCTAGGGATGACTCCCCACAAATAGAAGTGGAATGAAAGTGACATCAAAAGATGACACCTTAATTTATGCCCATGATTAAATGAAGCTGGTGGCTAAGAAGCAAAATCCAGAAAAAACTACAGGCATAAATGATCTATGGGAAACAAATAAACAGATTTTCTATAATCAGTACCAGATTTTTTGCACATCAGAAATGTCTGTTTTAGGGACAAAATTTGCATTTAATTTGAAGTTTTAATTCTGCTGTTTCATAACAAATATATAAAAAATTTCATTAAATTACTGACAATGTCTCAATGCATTAAAACGTGTGTGAAATACATTAGTACACAATAGTAGAAATAAGCTTTTTGTTTAATATAGTTTTATTTTTCTTTGCATTCTGTGTGCATATTTTCTCAAATAAAAAAAATTTACAATTATTTAAAAGTATAAATTCATATATTATATATTCTTCTTCCATCTTTCTATCCTTCTTTTTAGTAATACTGTCACTTCTTTGACAAAACATAGTCAGCACTAAAACTGGAGCTACAGTGATTCATTCATAATTACATTCTGCTCATTTAGATAATAAGTGAAAATAAAAACAAAAAGAAGCATTTGGAATAGTGGAAATAGTAATAAGAAATTTGAAAGACTTCCAAAAGCAGAAGAAATGTGGACAATTTATTAGCTAGTTTGAAATTAACAAAAATATATTAACAATGTCAAAATAGATTTAATGTTTATAGACAAAATAGTTTTACTGTTTCTTCATATTTTTAACTCATTTAAGCATCTAGAAAATTGTAAATACAAAGTTTAATCACTGGAGGATAGTAGTAGTGGGGATATGTTTTATAACTACGACTACAGGATCTAATTAAGACTTACGAGCTGTCTCCTTCATGGTTTTCATTTGAGTTCATTTCCTTCTCATTCATTTTGTCCTTCACACCAGGCAGGGCAGCTTGCTGAAACAATAATCCCAGCAATGTTTAAAATATTTACACGTTATCAATCAAGAGTCAAATACATAAAAAAATTATGAACATTTTCCAAAATCAATAATGAAATAAATCACTGTAAATGATAAAAGTTGTTTGCTTGCATAACATGAAAGATATGAATGCCAATAGGGTGAAAATATCTGACTGATCACAAAAATATAATTTATAACACCGGCAAAAAATATTACTTTAATTACATATGTCCTGTTTTGTGGTCTCTTTATGACTATTAGTGTCTGGAAAACACGCTACCCCGCCCCCAGCTTGCCTCCTCATGCTCAGTCCAGCTGGATCACACCCATCCGACCTGCCCTACTCCTTCCTGTTTCTCTTCACAATGTTATCTCTTGCCTGGCACTGGCTTTGATACTATCACCTATGCTGTGAGCAACTACAAATAGATGCATTGTTGCATACTCCCAGCACCCAATTTTTTTTCTTCACTAACTCAATGCCTAATGCAGTATCAGAATGAATTAAAAAGCAATTAAAGAAATTTTATAGGCATTCAGAAACACTGCATTTTCTTTGGTGAATTTCCTCACCATTTCAGATTTGCAAAAAATGGACAGAGGTAATACGTAAATATTCATTTAAAGAAAGTGAGATGATTGTAGTTCTATAAAATGTCATGTCTAGAGTAACTTTCTCTAGTTTTGAAGGTCACAAGAGCATTTCATGGAGGACTAAAATTGTAGATTTACATAAAAATCTAACAAATAAAGATTATCCTCTTTATAAAAGAAAGGTTTGAAAAAAAAGTAGGTTAAATTATGCCTGAAACAATTCCTCACCATTCAGAAAACCCCTCATCAAAATCAAGTTATCTGTTCCCGAAATTAGACACAAAGACAGACATATAGACTGAAAATATTGGTAAAAACCATTCAATAGTTGTTTTTTTTTTATCGATCTTGGGTATAATATTTCTTTAATTAAAATAAAATTAAAACTGTGCGAATGTTTCACTTCCTTTTATCTACTATGTGGTAAGAGAATGTTAAGCAATGTTACAGTTAAAAATACTGCTTTTTTTAAAAGAATGTTTTGTGGGTACCTGATCCTGAGAAAATGTATTCTTGCTCCAGTACCTGGGGATTTCAGAATATGGTTAAGCTACTGCTAACCATAATTAGAACTCAACAAATTATAATTATGTATTGACGATGACTATTACACAATAAACTATAAGCATGTATATTAAAAAACAAATTATTATTATTATGTATATTCTATTGTGGAAGAAAATACTCAGAGCAATTTGCTCTTTAGGAAAGTTATGGTCAGAAAAAAACTATCAATGCTTTGAAACCCTTGCACAACAACGAAGATTAGATTTACAGCTACTCAAAAGAGGAAATGTCTTGTATTATTGTAAATCTGGATATTTATCAAAATATTTATGAAAGAAATGGTTAACTTGAAGACATTTATGGGCAATTTTTGTGTTTTTATTATGTATTTTATATCTTTTTTTTTTTTATTATTATTATTATTATTATTATTATTATTATTATTATTATTATTATTATTATTATTATTATTATTATTGGCATATAGGCCATTACTGACCACGCTACACGATTAATGTGTGTAATTCTTCCAGGATCAGCTTTTCAGCTGTATCCTTGGATTACAACAAGGTTGTTACGCCTTGTAGTGTGACTTATGAGATGATAGGATGATTATAGGTGAAGGGACAATCACAAATATGACCATGTCTACGCAGGACTCGAACCTGCAGCCTCCTCGGCACAGACGACGGCTGCCGCAACCATCTGCGCCACAGGGCCAACTATGATATATTATAGAGAACAAAATAAGGGGTCAATGGAACCAAAAATTCTTTTAAAAGAGGTTGATTAACAAAAAAGGTGAGGAAGCCCTACTCTATACATATCTTTCTTGAATGCAAACTATAGTCAGAACCAAATTTTGTGGATGCTTGGTACTGAAAAAGCGTTTGTTCCTAAAATATGTCTGTCCAACTATCTGTCAGAGAAAGTCATTTCCAATTCAAAACAGTTCTTTAATTTCCATGAAACTCTGTTTATATGTTATGCACAAGTATGTTTTTCAATTTTATAATTTTTTTGTAAGTCCCTGATAAATTCCTATTTTTCCTGTGCTAAATTATTTCAGATATACGTTTTAACTTAATATAATTTTTCATGTTCACACATCCATAATGAAAGCCCCTTTTGCCCTTTCTGAGCATCTGTCCCACCGGGTGGGCTGCAGCATAATTTTCTGTGTTGTCTGGAGTGGCTTTGCATAATTTCCACCAAGATATCATGATAAAAATTCAGTTTGTTTAAAAGAAATGCTCAAACTCGATGGAATCAAATATTTCTAATCAGGCATTACATTCATTACAATCGGACATTACAGGCATGGCTGCATAAAGTGCGAATATAAGTGCTATCTTTTTCCCTAGGCATGCCTATGCCTGCCCCACATATAATATCAGGCCTGTGTCACACAAGCATTGTGTTAACGTGTTAAGTTGTACAGCATATCCCTATAACGTTAAGTGTTTTGTTTTATGTACAGTTATCTTTAAAGATCTTTTATGAAGTTCTTAGAAATTTTACACACATTTTTATACAAATGCTCTTCTCCCACAGTGTGTTTTTGTAAGGTTAAGTCATTTCCATTGTTTTACTATTGTTGTGTTACTATTAATTTAAAATTTTTTTCTAAATATTCTCAATATCTGAGTTTTGAATAATTGATTTCTTCTATAAAAAAAACAACTAATCACAGCAAATATATGTTACATAATTAGTGAAAATTTCATAGTTATCTGCAATAGTTTTTGAGAAAAAAAGTACAAGAAAACAAAAAATAATACCTTTTGGGAAATGCAGGTTTTGTGACAACATAACTAAGACAATCCTGGTGCACATTCTGGCTCTTCAGCATCTTCCTCATCATTCTCTCAACTTTTCCTTTTTGTTATGTCATTTAAAGTTTTTCTACCTCCTCTTTGGCCTTTTTGACACTGTGACTACGTAGTAGTGTAGTGTAGTGTAGTGTAGTGTAGTGTAGTGTAGTGTAGTATAGTGTAGTATAGTGTAGTATAGTGTAGTGTAGTGTAGTATAGTGTAGTATAGTGTAGTATAGTGTAGTATAGTGTAGTATAGTGTAGTATAGTGTAGTGTAGTGTAGTGTAGTGTAGTGTAGTGTAGTGTAGTGTAGTGTAGTGTAGTATAGTATAGTATAGTATAGTATAGTGTAGAGTAGATTAGAGTAGTAGTGTCTTGAAGTGACTAAGACCCTACAAAACAACTCACAATTAACATTCTACATAGCACAATATTACTATGAATAATTCCACCAAAAATGTCAAGAAGTAAGTGACAATTGCAAGGCAGTGATGCCACAACCACTCTAAATACATACCATGAAAGAAATTTCCCTAAAACAAACTTCAAAAACCTAAAAAAATCATGTAAAGAGGCGGGTAACGCACAATGGCATTTTGCATAACTAGACGTTTAAATGCAATTTTTAAGCCTTTAGGGAAAAAAAATATTTAAAAAACGTATATTGCACTATGTTACTTTAAAATTAAAGATTCAAAACAACATTAAATTGAAAATCGAAAATTTTGGTCCCATGATATGTAAGTACCTCTCTTAAACAAATAGATTAACACTGCATCAGATACGGAGAAGCCAAATCGCTCATGTGCCATTTCTCGATAATCTATGACACCACATTTATGTAATAGGCTTAAGTAATAAGTAATGTACTTTAGTTTCCAGGTCATCGATCAGGAACAAGTAGAGTACTTCATCTTCCGGTCTCTATCATGTTCTTTTTTGTTTCCCTACTCCATTGAGCAAATGCTGAGATGGCTCCTTGTTTTGCTTCTGGACAAAAATATAGCTTCCTTATGCGCGTTGTGTTGACCTAACCTTTTGCTAGTAGTGGTAGGAGTACAGCCGCAGGTGTGTTACTGCTTTGTTAGCAATACAAAAAATCTGTAGTTTGTTTACTGATGCAAAAGTTTTCTATAACTAGGGAGCAAATCAGCCTAGTTTTCAAATGTTGCTAATTTCACTTTTTTTGAAACTTTTATTCATCATTCATCATTGTATAGTTGAATTGTTGGGAAGAGCTTCTGGAGCTCAAGATAATGTGTGCATAGGTTCTGCTCCCTCATACATCACATACACTTTTTACTGTTCATTGACTAAACACATCAAAGTAGCGTTAGCTCCTGCAAGCCAACCAAGAGTGGAGTGTGCTAATGTAAAAATATTTTGTTTTGCTCATAATATTCATTCCAAATACGTGTTTTTCTCACTTATACATTTTTCCCTTCAGTCCCCTGAAAAGTGTTTAAGTGAAATTTTACTATACTGTTTTGTGAAGCCCAAAGGACATTTTTGTAATTTTCTCAAAAATTGCTGAAAATGTGTTCTCTTCATTTTCCTCTCAAATAGAGCAAATTGCTTTTATAAAAAAGTGCAGGACTTCTTTCCAGAATAAAACTCTAATTTTTGAAAATTGCAAAATTTGTTGATGCCCTCCTGAAACTATATTATTTTAAAAGTAGTGCTTTGCCAACTGCAATCTGTTCTTCACAATTAGATATTACAACAATCATAATCATAATTATTGATTGATTTATATTTTATAAATCTTGATTTATATTTTAATGAACTATACTAGTTGAATGTGGCATCACAAAACTTTAGACTGTTTTAAAAATATTTTCATGTGATAAAAATGTCTACGATGCCAATTCTAAATAAAAAGAAACTTAAAATATCATTGCCTGGTTCTTTCATCTTCAGATGTAGTACATAAAAAATAATCTATTAAGAATTAAAATTAAATAATAATAATAATAATAATAATAATAATAAAAATAATAATAAAAATAATAATAAAAATAATAATAAAATAATAATAAAATAATAATAAAAATAATAATAAAAATAATAATAAAAATAATAATAAAAGTGTGTGGTCGCAACTCTTCTTGATGAATGTTCACTCTCCCATCCAAGAATTCAACATACCATACTATTCCTATAGATTTATGTAATAACATAATTATGTAGTTAAAATTATCATACAAAAGCAGATTATACCCATTAGCACTACTACTGGCTGCATACGCTACATATAACAATTATCCTATAAAAAGTTAATTATTCTGTGAGGTGGCAATGCTGATGATGAACCTGTTCGCTCCATAGCCCTACACAGCATACGGAAATCAGTGTCATCCAGCTAATGCAATCTCTAGCAACCAGTGCCATTTATCGCCGGAAGGCAGTGGGTGGCTTCATTGGCATCACATTTAGCAGTCATCACAGCCGCTTGTGGCATGACCAAGGGGATAGTGCTAGGACATACAATTTGTGCAATCACCACTAAAAAACTCAAAAATGCATATTTTTGGAGAAATTTCTTCAAAGATCAGAAAACAAACCAGTTCCCCACCTGGAGACCGAGTTGTATTGAATGAACCTCATTTGTCTAGATTGGTGGATGGGAAGGGGCTAACTGAATGATGAATGGACTGACAGATGCACGATTCTCAAATACTGCATAAGAATTTATCAATCTTGTATCTTTAAATCATTCCAAGAACACTTTTTTTTCACAGTACTAGTAGTTTTGCATTTTGCATTTGAGTTATAATGTGTTCACAACCTAAAACATTAGTTTCAATATTAGATATTAAAACTGGTTAAAAAGCAATGGGGAGAGTTTCCTATCATCTTGTACACTTGAGTTCAAATTCCAGGCTGGATTTTATCTCTCTTTTTTAAATATTTTGTGTGAAAAGAGAACAATATTCTGAACTTAAAGTTAAAAAAAACATTTTCATTTAAACTTTTGAATTAAAAAAAAAAGGTTTTTTTGTCTTGTGGTTGTTCTTTTTGATTTATCACACACTATTTTAGTTATAAGTTTTTCAAGTGGTAAGTGTTAGTATGCTGGAAGTGAACATAATGTTATTGCAAATAATACGAGAAACTGTGCTATTGTGTACCATCGGTTTTGTATTTACACTATGTGATTTTCAAATTTGACCATCAATCTCATTGGTGACAGTGCAACCAACTGAGTCAGCTACATCAATACTAGCTCCATCAATAATCTAAATATAACCTTATCATATAAGAAGAAACCTGCCAATAAAGCACAACAATGATAATTTTTTTCTGGCAACCAAGTTATTTTGGAACCGGTGTAAATAAAGTGTAACTTTAATTTTCCTTGGTCATTATTATAATTACGTACCTCTTTTGAAATAATTCAATTCAATCAAACGTTTAGTCATTAAAAAAAATTAAGTAGCAAAAATATTATCTGAAGGTGGTAGTCAACAAATTTTATCCTAATTTATTCTTATAGGAGAGTTTGTTTATTGGTATATGTTCCTCCTGTATTACTCAACATATTTCAATGAAATCTTGGAAGCTAAATAACAGCAATTGGGAACTTGCTACACAATCATTACCTGATCATTAATATCATTACCATCATTAAACCAAAACCTCAAACCAAAATGTCTACAAAAAATGTATAATTTAAGTTGCAATTCTCACCTGGGGGTTGTTTTGATCTGGTTTGACCCAGAACACTTGTGCAGGATCTCCCTTTCCTGGAGGTTTCGCTGGTGGCCGCTCCTGGAAGATGTAAGAGAACTGCAAGCCAGATGATACAGTGCCCTTGGCAGACAACATTAATTGGGGAGTGGCTTAATGGCAAGTTGTCATAGGCACCAACCAAACTAATTTATATGTTCTATAATAACATATAAAGAAAATACAGACTGCAATGAATGCAAAGCAGTATCAAGAGAACCACATTATTATATTCAGTGAGGGCAGGCCAACCTATACAAACTTGGTCATTCTCAAAAAGTTCATTGTTGATTCGCCCGTTGATGGCTCTCAAGTTGATAAAATCTATATGGAACATATGATATTCATCCACAAACCACCTAAGATGGGTTTGGGTGATCTGTTCCTCTCATGGATCAATTCTTACTTGCATAACACACTGCAATATGTTTCGCTGAATGGTATTCATTCCGATTCTTACGGAATACTGTCTGGAGTACCTCAGGGATCTCACCTGGGCCCTTTACTTTTCAACTTGTTTCTCATCGATCTCCCTACACAGTCTTAAAACACAGTGATATCCTTCTTTTTCCTGACACTAAGATTTATCGCTCGATATTTGATAATGACACCACCAAGTTGCATCTTGATTTACTAGCTGTCGGAAATTGGTGCCTTCTGAACAACATATCATTGCACCATTAAATCTTCCAGAAAGAGCCATTAACTCCTCCAGAAAGCAAGACACTGTTAGTTTTCCATATAGACTCAATGGGAGAATATTGGCTGTGGTTGACAACATCAGAGACCTGGGATTTATCTTTGACAGTAAACTCAATTTCAACTACCACATTAACAGTATTGTTAACAAAGCTCAGCAAATCCTGGGTTTTATCTTGCGAAACTCGTCACAATTTCAATCACTTTACACAATCAAACTGCTCTTTAACTCGCTGGTTAGGCCCATTTTTGAGTATGCCTGTCTTCTTTGGTCACCCTTAACTGGGAAGGCCATAAATCACCATGAGAAGGGCCAATACAGGTTGTTGCACAACTTAGCTTTTCGCAATGGATGCCCTATTCCGTGGTTTTGTCATGACTACACTGATTACTACTCATTGTATAACATTCATCTTTGGGATAGAAGAACAATTTTTAACATTAACTTTGTATTTAAAATTTTGTCAGGTAAAATTAATCGTAATGATTTTCTCCCAAATACTGGTTTTTGGGTCCCTTGTGTGTTCCTTATTATTTTCTGTGAAACCTGTGAATGTTGACTATGAAATGAATGATACTTTCTACTGTATTGCCTCTAATGCTAACAAGTATTGTAAACAAATTGATTTTTGCAACATTACTTAGTCTAGTATGTACATAGTACGTCTATGTACATACTACTCGAGAATTGTTCTATGTAATCATCTGATTTGTAATTAAGATATTGTTCCTAATTTCCTAAATTTCCTCTCTGTGACTTCATTATCAAATGAGTATCTTGTACTCCTATATTATAGTTACATGCATTAAAGGGAATTTCCTTAAGCAGGTATATTAACTATGAGCTGGTGACTATGTTCAGCTTAAACACAGCAATGTGACATAGCAAGAATGCATTTCTATTAATCTTAACTCTTCTAGTAAAATAATACTAATAAAAACAGTAGATGAATTCTGAAGTAGTCACCACCAAGAAATATATTTGTACTTGGGGAAAAGGTTTGTCATCTTAAGATAAGAAAATAAATCAAATTGCATACTCTGCTGCTGCCATAAAGAACAAATCAGGTAACTGATCATTTGTTTTCCATTCAAACATATGTGTACAAGCATTGTTTTCAAGTAAAGTACCTGTACTGTTATAACTGTAGAAAGTTTTTCTTTTGTGGCATAAATTCAAATGATAAATGAGATTCAAACATTTAATTTATCAAGGGAGAAATTACTTTTTTTTTTGTTTCTTTCAGTCATTTTCATAATAACAGAACTCCAAAAGAATATTGACAAAATGACATATGGTGAGCATTCCCTATCCTCAACATCACTCAGACAGATGTCCACTGAATATTAATATCTATCCACAAGGTATATAACAGAGTTGTCTATTTGACCTTGCAAAAAAATTTACCAGAAAGCTTGGAAAAACATGTCAATAGCTTCCAATTGAAGTAAAATCTGCAAGGGGGAGATTAAATCCATAAATTTTGTTTCTTCATGATTCTGCTAAACAAAGGATATAATTTAATGTTTAAAAATTTGATTGAGGTTTTTATACTAAGAAGATTATTGCCGAAGACACGGCAATAGCTGGATGAATGGTTAAAGGTAATTGTCTTCAACGTTCTCAAAATAATGTGTCACTACATTATGAGAGAGGGGAGAGAGAGGAGAGAGAGAGGTGAAGGAGAGAGAGAGGAGAGAGGAGAGGAGAGGAGAGGAGAGGGAGAGAGGAGAGGAGAGGAGAGGAGAGGAGAGGGAGAGAGGAGAGGAGAGGAGGAGGAGAGGGAGAGAGGAGAGGAGAGGGAGAGAGAGGAGAGATTGATTATAACATTAAGCCCAATGACACTTTGTCGGCTGTGTTGCTGTCATCCAATTGGGAGTTTTAACACCACTATAGTGATGGCCAAGCTGCGGAATGGATGACAGTGGCACACCTGACCAAGTGTCAAAGGACTTAATGTTTTAATCAAGTACACCCTCTTGTACAGCCTAGGAACACATTCCCAAGTGAAAGTCTTTAGAGATTTGTAGTGATTTCATTGCCTGGTGGTACATCGGTGGTAGGTACAGTGAAAAAATCACCAAATTAGATAATTCTGTGTCGTTTCTGTTTTTTTCTTCTGCAGTTTTGTCTTATGTTAACTCCCATGAGTACTTTCAGACTTTTCACAATAATAATAAATGCCCTCGATGCATCCCTTTTTTTGCAAAAAAAAAAATTGGATTTGCAAGGTAGATAAAAGTTTCCAGATCCATTTCAAGGAATAGTATTCAGTACAGGTCTGTAAACTCACACAAACCCTTAACCTCAATAATTCATTTAGATCTATAGTGTAAATAGCTTCAGGTTTCAAAAGAAGTTTTCAAAGAGAGCACAATTTTACATAGTAACAAAAATTAAAGAATTTTCTTTCTGTTTCATAACACAGTATTATGTTACACACACATTTACAATTGCAATATTTTTCTAAGACACACAATTTAAGCAAATGCTAGTCTGATACCTCCTTCAACTTTTAGCAAGATCAGGAACAATTCTAAGAATTGCACATTGCCAATTATACACCTATATTTCTGTGCCTCTGACAGTAATATGCACTACATACTTTCATTATACATTTTTAAAATATTAAATTATTAGTGCAAGGAGGAAGACACCAGCCTATATTTAATTTAATGATTATTTATGTGATTTGTGAGGTCCTCTCTATTCAAGATATACATTTTATGTATTAAAGAGATGACATATCTTGCCAACAGCCACTCCCTACACTGTGTTTACTTGTCAACAGAATGCAAACCTACCTGCGAAAGATGTGGATGCATGGTAGGTTTGGGGTGCATAAATAATTTGAGTTCCGTGATGGGCTGAGCCCCCAGCTGCATCTGGCGAGGAAACAAGGACATCGCCGGATCAGCAGCTGGTGCACATGGTGCTGCCGGGAGGTGCGCTGGTGGGGCACTGACAGCACTACTCACCGACGCAGCATGTGCCACATGGCTCTGCATCCACACTGGTTCACCCTTCCCAGCCGCCTCCTCTGTCATTTTCCTGCAAAGTAGAAATTGTTTTTTAGTGAGAAACATTTTTTCACAACATATGAAACAAATTTTTCATATGGTGTTAAACACAACAATTATTATCCAGCAAAATAGTTTCTAAAGGATAATTAATAAAGGATTTCTAAGGATTTTGAAAGCAACAATACCATGAAATTTTTATGTACTTCCTCTATAATACTTGAAAGTGTAAATTTTTCCTATAGTACAACTTATTTAGTCGTGCACTTGACATAAATTAACTGTTGTGATTTCATCTAATGAGGAGCTTGTATGTCACTATGGGGATGTTCAAGTGCTCCAATGGATGAAACCATGAACAGCCGATTTACATCAAGTGCAGGGTTAAATCCTAGTATAGATAAGTGTCATAATTAGAGCCACCATTTTCACACCTTAAGTTCATATTTTATTTACTTAATTGGTAACATAAAACACATTGTTCACTCATGGAACTGATATGCCCTGAAGTAAAGTCAGAGGAGGAAAGACTCAGGAGCAAACGGGTGAATGGATGAAATGCTGCTGATGATGACAATGAACAATACAGATTTCATGGAATATGAGACAGAGCATACAAGACAGCCTCACAAAAACCTTAGTTAAAAACTAAAATAATAGGATCAATATGACAAATTTGTCCCACAATCCTTTTTATTTTTATTTTTACAAAGATTAAACAGAAGAGGGAGGGATGTAATGTGACCACTTTTTTACTTTACCTTCATCAAATCGAAGTAAGCTCAACAATACCATCAAATACATAATGCAGGCAAAAATTAATTTTCCTTTTCCTTTCAAGATAATTTAGAAACACAAATCATACATAGAAGACAACAGAATAAAATGATAACTTGCATGTCTTGAAACATGAGACTGAAGTTAAGCAAAATAAAAGCATAAGCTTTTGAAATAAATTGTAATCCCAATCTGAAATATAGGTTGTTTAACATATTCCGATTGAAAGAGCACACACATGAACACACTTTACCTGCAATCAACAGGCGGTGGGTGGGGGCCAGGTGCTAGCTCAGGCAATCCACTGCACGGATCTGCAAGCAGAGCATCGAACTATTGCTTCAACACCACTTCTGCTATGAGACCTCCAGCACAAAATTGAATTACACGTACTTCCTCTTGTAACAAATTTGTGACTGCCATAATCAACAAAGCATTCAATCACAATGCACTTCAAAAACCAGTCATTAACACAAGTGCAACAGTGGACACCCAAGAGTATCACATGGAGTCCAAGCCTAATTCTGAGGATCCTTTTGTCTTCTCTTGCTAAAGGAAAAGGTTAATATGCATTTCCTACTCTATCTTGAAAATACATCTTTATGCTATGAAAAACTTGACAGGGGAAAATTGCAAGAAAATGATAAAAAAAATCCTTCCTTCAACAAAACGTTCCAATTGTAATCTACTGAAAAGTAATCAATATTTGTAATGTCTTTATTTTATGAATTGCGATTTTGACAATATTTTGATGAAAATTTATTGATATCAGTTATATTTATATATCAATTAAAGTAACAACTCTTTCTCTGAAATCTAGTCAGTAGCAGTAAAAATTCATTTTCTTGAAATAAAGTAAATCATACTTTTAATGACGCAAAATAATTTTGCTTTTGTAGTATTGATCTTTATATACCGAGAACAAATATGATTCAACTAGAAAAATTTATTTTTGATTAATATAGAAGTACTTGTAAGATGCATTGAATACTTTCCTCCTTCAATGATAAATTTGTAAGTGAATATAATCTAAATTGTATTTTTCAAGAGAGCTAGTTCAACATTTTTCCTTTATTCTCAATAAAAATCAAAGAATTCCAATAAAAGCATCATCAAAATATTCAGTACACGCATATTTCTTTACTGCAGATATGTCTGCTCATTTATTAGTTCCACACTGCCTTCCCCTTGTAAATGTTAAGAGTGTATTAATGAAGTTGAGGCAGGGATTCTTTAAATTTTCTAAAACTGAATAAACTTTCCTAAACAAAGTCCCCAATCACAACAATTAATCATACCTGCTGCAACAATGGGGCAATTCATGCTTGGAAAGTTTCTCATGATGAATATAGACACAATGTAAAATTAATCTGTGTTACAATCATACTTTCAAAAGAACTTGTGATTCCAACAGTACAACACTTGAAAACATAAGCAACAAGAAACATTTCTATTAATATAAATAAATTTTCATCTCAATTAGCAACTTCATAAACTCCAAACGTCAGAAATGGTAGCTATTCACTTTTTCTACAATACAGAGAATTATTTCTCCTTGACAAGGATACTCTAGAAGACTTATTAATAAACCAGAAACAAGCAAAATTTAAAGCACTGTCCTAAAAAACAAAGTAGTTATTTCGATTAAAGAGAATTAAAATAAAGAATTATCATACCACATCAGGGATATTTAAATGGCAGGTAATTTAACCATGATTCACAATTAACAAAATCGTAAATATAAATTATTTTACTAATTTATTTTTTTGTTAAAGTATATTTTGAGGAAGAATATATCATTTATTTTAAAAAAACCTTTGTTCCAAACTATTAACAATAAAAAAAATATGTAATATTCATTCCACTTCCACCATTTCAAATTTTTTTTAATGAAAGTCTCCGCACTTTTGTGTCAAAAACTGTAGAGTACTTCAAAATGTTACAAATATTTTAATTTAAAACAATGACAAAACAGATCATCAAAGTATTGATAAAAACTTTAAATCTAAGAAAACAAAAACCTATTTACCTATTATTTTGATTTGCTCTCATTCAAAATATATAAATGATGGATAGAATGACATCAAAAATAGAGATAGTGTAAAATTTTGAACATATCCAACAGAGCTAGGCTTGGAACCAGTAGTGTGTGTATGCATGTGTATTGTGGACAACAAGGACTTTGAGCCACAGCCAAGATCACAGGCATTCCAAGCGCAGTGATAAATGGAAAAGATGGCAGCCCAGGGACTGCCATAAGAAAGTTGAAGGCCAGAGTGCAGACTAATGTCAAGACCCCACCATGCCATCTGGCAACCTACTTGTGCAGGAGAAGATGGTAGAAGGTACAGCATTGTGTATAAGTTTCCTCTTGTCTTGGCTCATGAACTGTGATGGATTGAATTGGGCACCACACAATCTAAAGCTCTTGTACACATCCATGGGACTGCGTAGATCCAGTCTTTCTGAATGACTGAGCCACTCACGACATCTATTTGGAACAAGAATACAGGACATCACTGGTCAATGTTGTACAGGATCACCGCCTGGTACATGCAACACTTTTGACGTTAGGTTGCTAATCTACTACCAGTAGAGAACTAGCAGATGCAAACATACTTTCATACTTCCCTAAGCAAAATGATACAAGATTCCACAATATTGGATGCACCACAATCAGATGATCCAGTTCAACACAAGACAGAAAAGTTTAGAAGAACTACAAAATAAATCCAGAACCAGTAGAAAGAGTAATAAGCCTCATATTTAAACACTGTACATCACTCTGAATACAAAAACAAATATAGTTGCATAATCCAAGCAAACTACTCTACTACCTGCATCAAAAGCATTAATAGACCAACAATTTCACCTGATAATGGAAATCGACAGGGTTAAATGGTATGATTACAACGAAATACTTACCCCATTTTACGGTTTCTGAATCTAAAAATGACTACCTCAATTTCAAATCCCAAAATTACAGCGACCCACAGTCGAACAACATGGCCCATGGGTAGGAAATATTTTCGTCCATATTGAAAAAAAAAGTATGTATCAACAAGAATCTCTTATTATACGCAGCAGTGAACAATTGAATGTGGCGCGCAAACACTCAGCCATCACCCCAACCCCCGCCACCGCCGCGATTCCTGTGGTTTCGCGGCTTCTACCGGAGAATTGAGAAACCTTTTGAGGCTCCCTGCAGTCAGCCTCCGTAGAAAAGATGTAAGGATATGACAGTAGCGCACTAGTCCACGATCACATCAAACAAACAACCAAGTCCAAAATCACGTGAGCATGCAGAAAATAATGGTCAAATAATTCCACTGCGCTTTTTTTGGGTATCTTTTAATTAAACTTTACTCACTTTCACGCAAATATACGCACGGAAGTCACCTCCATATTGTCATCACAAGATGACCCAAAGCGGCACTACCACCATCATACGATGCACTTAATACATTATTACGAATTTCTACACCTACAAACTAGCACCTCTTCGATCACATTATAATAACAACGATGCACATACACAGTTGGCAGGACGTGTGAAAACAAAAATATTAGTTTGCGATACAGATTTGTATTTTTGTAACCCGTTCTATTGGTAGCATGGTATGACACCTCGCGGCCCCTTTCGGCAGTGATCTTCTGTACAGAGAAAGTAGATTATGTTCACACGCGTGCCAACACGTCGAAGAGGTAATGTCATTCACGCCATAAAACGTACGACCAGAATGTGCCGATAACAATTCACTCAAAAATTAAAATAGCGTGGAATATATACCACAAAAAACACTTATCAGGTTTGTGTTTGATTAATGACAGCAGTAATACAATGTACACTCTGAACTCGTCGCAAATCATGTACCTACAGTTCACACAGTCTCTACAAAGAGCTTCAGTAACCTTCATAACAATAATACGAAAAAACAAAATTCACCACCAATGGACTCAATGAACTTACCATAAGCTCCTTTAAAGGTCCACAGAAAATCACGTTGAGTGGGGTCCAGCGAAATGGTTGCTGTGAATTTTAGACAAGTATTAAAATAACCACACCATTTGCTTTCTTTCTTCCTTTTTCAAGAATCACTCCTAAAACAGAAATATGACTTTTACGAGGTCGATCTAGAAAACAACGCTTTAACAAGTTTTCTACAATTTACACAGAACTTGCACGACTGTACAAGGTCAGAGAAATTCAATAACGGGCCCTACAAGCGGGATGGGAACTCTGGTGGTCCAATTCGGAATTCGAAGGAAAACGTTTCACGAAAATTCACCTCAAATTTCTCGTTTCCCATATTAGTAGGCCTATATGTATATAAACGGTGCCAGTAATAAAAATGTGCTCGACAATGCGTTCAAACTGCTCTGAAAACGTCGAACTTTTAAATAGTTTCCATATTTCGGCAAGCAAACAAGCATCAAATTGTAAAAAAAACACTCCACTTTATTACAAAAAACACTTTCAAAAATCACAATCATAAATAAGGTTTCAGTTGCACTTCAGTACATTTAATGTAAACACGAAAATATACAAATATGACACTTTTTACAAAAATATATTAAGTAACATTTGTACAGTTATTTCAGCACAATGTCAAAAAAAAAAAAAAATAATAAAAAAAAATATCCGACACTAGCTTTGAGTCTAGTACCTCCAATTATTATGAAGGCATCTACAATATTGCAACTAGTAAAAAATATAAGATGCACACTGCACCCTATGCTGAATTTGCAATTGGCCACAACCAGGAAGCTTGACTAATTAGTCTGCAAGATGTTAGCAAATTTTAAAAAAGTTTTTCTGGCCTCATTGTAAAGTACATACAAATATCAAAAATAAGGCACAGATCATTGCAAAAATGACATTTCAGATATAAATTCTCTGGGCTTGTAGACAAGATTGAGCACACACACACACACACACACACACACAAACAATTGTTAGCAAAAGGCATAACTTATGCCACCCACCTCCAGTTATGGAGGGGACCAGGGTCTTCAAGGGACAAACAAAACGTGGGTACCTAATAGAAAATGTTGATTTTGATTACTTGAAACATGTATTTTAAAATTTTTGGCTGAAGTTAGAAAAATTCCATTTTTTTTTACAATCAATGAAATTGGAGCTTTACACACATCACAGAAACATTTCAATAAAATGCTGTAGGAAAGCTGCCCAAAATATATTTTAACTCTCTATAACTTCACATGTTAGGAACTGGTTAATAATTTAGAATTCAGCTAAACAGTTGATATTTGGTAGAAGCTGTAAGATTTAAGAAATAGCATCCCGAAACATCTCTTATTAATATTGTGCTTATAAGACATGCTCAGTTACCTTTGACTGAGGGCAAACAGTAAAGTTTTACCATTTTTTCAAGAGCATTGACTGAACTTTATCGATTCTCCCCTACTTTGAATTAAGAAGCCCATTTGAAATATTAGCCATGAGATTGCTACACAAGTCCTTGGGCTATTGTAAGAACACCATTTCTGAAAATACAGCTTCTGTAGAACGTGTCATTGAACTTGTCATCGAATTAATTTCAAAAAATTTTAAAAAAAGACATTAATATTTCAATGAACACAGTTTGAATACCATTGTTTGAGACCAAGGACTGAAAATATGCCTTTTCACAAGATAAAGAAATAAATACTCTTCATACAGTAGTTAGTAAATACTGATTTGCGTGAATACCTTATTAAATTAATATTAATATCATTACTAACGGCAAACATTCAATGGCACATTTTGCAATGACTTTGCTTACATGGATTTCTAATTGCAGATTACAGTCATCAACAAGCCCTGAGAGTTTGTACTTGACTTTCTGAACATATTAAATATATATAAATACATCACATCACATTTTCACAATCTAGAAAAAATGCCAACAGATCTTAACACCTTACATTTTCTAACAGAGTATATTCGAAAGATTTCTGTTGCCGAACACCAATACTATAAAAATCAGATCGTAGATTATAAGTTAACATCTAAGCATATCTTGCTATTATAACTTAATTATATCAAATGGGTAATAGGAGTATTATACTAGTACATGATTACATAAATTCTAGAATACTGGCACCATACATGATACAGAAAGAGTATTGACCATACTGAGAGAAAAGGATAACAGGTATTTGAGGAATGTCAAGGATCTACCACCATGTAAAAAAAAAAGAATCAACATTCCAACACTTTCATCACACGAGACTATCACTTCTTTTAGTGCAGTGTCACCATTACTAAGTAGCTACAACATTTTATCGAAGTCAGTCACCAAAAAGGAATAAAACACAGACTGCGTTTCACTTACCTACTCATATCTTCATAGGTTACGTAAGGCCACAATATAAATTCATATGTATGTTAATGCTTCCCAATGTTTTTCACTGCAGTAGCAATAAATAAGCTATATTTTAAAATACTTTAGTAGAACAACTAAAAATTTGATGAAATTTTAGTTATTTATATTTACAAAAGCCAGAAACCAGTTATTTCCATAACTCTTCAAAATGCTAATACAGATGCATTTCAAAAAGAAGTAATGTAAATAAAACTAAATAAATCTCTCAACCAGAAAAGGTGAAACTTCCACAACAAAGAAACTGTGTTCCTCAAGAACATAATTCTTAGAGGAAAATTCACTTGAGACCTAATACAAACCTAAAACTTACGTATTTACCAGGGTAATTTCATAATTACTTTGGACCATGTTTTTTGGTTGATTGTTATATTTTCCCTCTCATACACAAGCACACAAAAGTAACACTGATTGGGAGGCATTAACATACACAATAGGAGAATGTATTTGCTTCAACATGACCTAAAATCAATAATACAATTGTTGCTTCATATGTTATTGTTATCGACTAGTAGCAGGAAATAAGCTTTCATACGGCGGAGGCATATCTTTATCAGGCAGAATGGTTGATACAGGACTGTCCAAAGGTGGAGCAGATGGTACAGCACCATGCAAATGTTCTTGTCTTGCAGTTCCTGCTTCCATTGAATCAGGTCCTGATTGTACAGGAGATACAGGAGTCATGCGCACTTCTCTCTGGCTGTTATAGTCTCCTGCCCAGCAGAGTTTACGGTAATGCCGTAAAACCCAAATGCAGGCAAAGAAGAGCAAGAAAGCTGCCAATACTGTGGTAATAGCTCCAACAGTCACACTGGTTCCTACACTTGGTCGATGATATGTTGGGACTGCAAAAATATTAAATAAAAAAATTGAATTTCTCTATTCTATAATGGAGTCGGGGCAACACAACAATCCACATTTCCCACATCCAAAATAAAAATCTTAGAATTTTCCTCAAAACAGAATAGGTTCAAAGTGCTGTACAAACGTATCTTGCGTAATGCTCTTAACTCTTTCAGTTTTCATTTGTTTCAGAATTATTTTTGCAGTTACATGTGTTTATTGTATCAAATGTATTACTTCTCTCTATTTTCAATTTTAAGAATATTTTTAAAATTATAACATAATAATAACCCTTATTAGTCATGCAAGGGGTCATTTGCGTAACTGTACTTTTCATAAAGTCTTCAGATACCTTTTGTTGTAGAGGGATAAAATTTTTCTGTGTTTATTTTCTTTATAGAAATAGGAACCACCATCTTGTCAGTTGGGATGGGGCCCTTTGCAACACTTTTCTTTGGTCTTTGTGATAGAAAATTGTCAATGGCAATTGCTCTAATGATCTTTGAAGTTAATTAATAAAAAACAGTTTTAGTTAATTGACACTAGGCAATTTCCAGTTAAAAACTATTTAATTAGTTTAAAATATATTATTTGAGGTTTAAATAAAATAAACTACTCTAAAACAAGGCATGAAAATTGTCTTATTATCTTTCTTCATGGCTGAATAGTGAATTTGAAACATTATGCAAGTGGGAGAATTTTAATATATTTGAAGGGGAGAGGGATTGTATGCACCCATTTATTAGGATCTTCTATGTACCTGCTACAGCATTAAGATAACAGTTAATAAATTGTTTACTCAATTTTCAGAGAAGAGGGTTTACTTCATTGGCTCTTATTAAATTCTAAGATTTCAATTTCCAACTTAAATTTAACAATCAATATCATTATCCTACAATTTTTCTTATTTGATACATAGTTTTTTAGAAAAATAATAATGTATAACAAGAAAAAGGGGGGTTACTTAGGGGTTAATTATCCATACATAATAAACCCCTTGTAGTCCCGTTGAATGCTTTCGTAGCAGAAAATATGACCTCAATGTATAAAACAATATATTTTTAATGTACAATATAAGATGAGAGTTCTGTCAAATGCTCAATATTAAATAAAGGCAAGTGAAACAGTAAGGACTTCAATTGGAACTGGAATTTTTAAATGTTAACTTATTAAGAAATCTCTTCATGCTATTATAAGAAAGGAAAGAAAAGAAAAATTCATACGACTCTGAAATAAATTCTTTTATCCTATACAACAATTCATTTTTTATTATATACATTAATAAAGTGGAATATTATCTATTCCTGCATTAAATGAATTAATTGCATCACAAACAAGAAACGAAACAATCTTTTAGAATAAACATTTTCTACATCACTAGTAACATCAGTAAAAAAGCATGTAAAGTAATCTGTAGACTACTTTGATAAACATTGGGATCATTGAAGTACTACGTCAACTGATCACCTGCTGCTCAACCACATACAATCATAACTTTTATTAATTTTTCTTTACTTAGCAGTCATTGCTCAAATGGATGCAAATTACTATATTTACTCACCAGCAATAGGGCATCCCCCCTCATCACTACATCCTGAAAATGGGCAGTTAAAAATAGTGTCATTGGCATAAATTGAATTTATGCAGTGTTTACTGTTTCCACAATTTATCAAATATGATGGAAGAGAATCTCTCCCTCGGTAACAGTCTGGAATTAGATAAAGAAGAGTTCCAATTACTTTAATTATTAGTTGTTAAATTACGCAAAACACTGACATAATTACACCAGTGTATGTATTATGAATGTACAAGTCATTTAATTAAATGGTTTGTACATTCATAATATAATAACAATTCCATTGATAGAAGTATTTTATGCTTTCCTAGTTTTCTTAACTTTACAGATCTCAACCAATGAAATTATAATGAATCTACAACGTTTTTATAGAGAGGCATATATCTTTGCAGAGGAGTAGGTTACATACGAAATTTAAAGCTTTATATGTGTAATTTTTTTTAAGTCTTTTTGAAAACACCTCTTCCAAAAGTACGTGACAATTATTAAAACTGAATAATCTTCAAATATTTGTTTATGAATTTATCAAGTGAGTAAACTAATCCATAATGAATTTATTGAGGATAATAAGTTAGAAAAACAGTAGAACAGTAGAATTTTTTTCACGTTACAAAACCAGCATTACTTTCAAATCACTTTATACCCTACAAAGACCTGGTTTCCATAGAACAGCAAGCCAAGTGAGTCAGCAAAATCAGGATGGAGAGATAAAATTTCAAGCCCTTTTGGGAGTGTGAAATTTGATACTTCTACTCTACAGTTCGCATTTGTCACAAAAATTCACACAAAACTACTAGTTATGGAAACTTTTCTGGTGACCTGATAAATCTTGATGATGGGGTTTAGTTTTAGGCTGCAAGCTGCTGTTTTGAAACTTATAGATAAAAAAAAATTAAGCTGCAATTCTACAATTTACTTTCTATATATTTATGAACTTACGTCTTGCTGATGTAAATGCAATCTTCAAATCAAGAGATTCTCCAGGCAACAGCCTCTTAGTAGCAACATGAATAGTCACTTCAATTTCGTCTGAGCTAACAAATGCGTAAGGTGCAATTTCTTCAACACCCCCTTTCATAAGACGGGGAATTGATGGCCCCATTTTACCACACAATTTACCACTCTTGTGCTCATCATCGCTCTGAAACTGTAGAAAAAATTGCATAAGAACACATTCACTTCACACAAAAATGAAACACATTTAAAACAGAGTTCAATAAGTGTTTAAGATTTCTTTTGAGTATTTCAATAAAATGTTTTTACCTCTAATAATGCCTTTTTGTCAACATATTTCCACCAAAATACATGGGTAGAACATCACCAGATCAGAAGGTAGCAGAAAACACAGAATCAAAACAAAAGAAATCTGGCTGGGAAAACAAATTTCACCCTCATATCTGTCCTATTGTCTATCCTATTTGTATTATTTTCCTTTTCTTTATTTTTTAATATTTTATATTTATTTTGTACATTAATAGGTTGATAATGACAAGAACGCTAATGAGAGCTGTCTTTCTTAATAAATTTACATTAACAAATATGACTTCCATCATTTCATCCTTGAATAATGTCAATACCACGTCAGCATTCCCATAATCACTAAACAAACTGACATACTTCGAGGTTATAAAAACATAACTGATATTTTTTATATCAAAGATATTAGTTCAAATAAGGCTTTAAATTGTGTGATTTATCATTTAAAAATGAATCACTATTTGTTATTCACAGTGGTAAAAATCCATTTCTTTATTATAAAAAAGTAATTAATCACTGATGTAGATTACTAAAACCCATTAAAAACAGAGGTTAATGCAATATATAGTCTTCCCCTCCACACAAACATTTCATTCATTTACATTATATAAATATTTGAAAACATTACCAAAGACAACCAACAAAATCAGGAATTCATCACCAACTGCAAAGCTACCATTGGATTTGAAATGCACCTAGGACTTGCACAAAATGAACTGTGTGAATATATTTGTCATCAAATCTAAAAATTGAAATATCAAAGATTTGACTGTCAGATTACCATTATTATTATTATTATAAAGAAATAATGAACAGGCAATTACTTTAAGTATTTTAACATAACAGACACACTAGAAATAGGAAATAAGAACGTTTCGCAGTTTAAAATGCATGCAATGACAAACAGATTGAGTTGTGTCTTTTGATGTTATAGATCATAACCGCTGTGACAGCGTCCCGCCCCGCCCAATCCACGCATGATGTTGTCAATGTCAACTTCGCGAGCACACGTGCCCACAGCAGCTCTGGTACGCCGACTTGCATCTCACCTCCACGTAATCGAGACACCCCTCCTCGGTCTCACGGAACTGGAGATTCTGAATCACTGCAAACACGGCATGATCGTTATCTCCTCTAGCGTCCTTCACTTCGAATTGACAATGGAATTTAATGACACCGGGCCATTTGTCGAAACTTCTTGTTTCCTCCACAATCGCTGCATCATTCGGTTCGTATAATTTTATTTTTCCCTTTTTTCCTGAAGGGCTGCACACCTTCGGATTAGTAACAGTATCTGTAACAGAAATGTTTCCTCTAAAGACTGATCGAAAATGAACTGTAGAACAAGATACAATATTCATACGTCAGCCTCCACCTTGCATTTCAACTAAAAAACAGTCGCACGTAAGATATAAACTAAATGAGTGAATTTTAAAACAATGGAGTACAATCCTAGTCAAAATACTCACATTCTTGGTATGACGATACGTAAGTTACAGAAAAAAATACCAAAGAAATCAACAATAGCACTAGGTCGACGCTAGAACAGTTCGCCATATTTGTATGGTATCCCCACCACAAAATGAGTATGAGTCGCTGATGAAAAGCTATAGCCCATTCACCGTGTAATAGATATAAAGAAGTTTATAATTGGTTACACTATGTTACCATAGAA